GGAGGGGGGTCCCCGCTGCCAGCCCCCTGCGGCGCTCCGGGTGCCGCGGCGGCCGCCGGGCCTTGGGGCTGAGCGGCGGGGCTCGGCCGGCTTTTTGTGCGTGTGCGTGTGTGTGTGTGTGTGTGTGTGTGTGTGTGTGCGCGGCTGACGGCTCCTGGAGCGTGAACTCCTGCGAGGGAGAGGTTCGGTTTCCCAGCAGCTCAGCTTTCTGGGTTACTTCCTGTCCCATTCTTTAGCGCTTATCTTTACTTCCATTCCCTGGAGGAGCTGCCTTGACAGGGCAGCGGTCCTGCCGTTATTATCCCTTCAACTCCTTGCTATCCTGGGAGAGTGTCCTCCTTTTCCAGGAGAGATCCCGGTTTTGATGAATAACCCCTTTCCTTCCAAATTTGTGAAGGCTCTTCCTATTTTGCCCAGCTATTGCTTTTGTATTAACCAATTCTGTTCTTCATTTCTCTCTTTTATGTCATTGTGTGGCTCAGTTCTACTTTTTTTTTTTTTTTTAGGTTTAAGCTGCCTTAAAGCAGAATTAAAAATAGTGACTCCAAAGAACAAAATAACAGAGAAGAGAGAAAACAGCACTCAAAAAGCCCCCAGAAAGGTGATGATTCATTTAGACTCTCAGAGTCATCCTAGACACATGGTTTGGCTGGGATTGGGGCCTCTTGTGTTTTTATGGATTTGAATAGGTAGCATTAGATTTCTTTGTTCTTTTCAAACCTACTTGCTGTTGACCTTTTAAAGTTTGAAAGCTCTTAATCCCATTTGAAGTACAGTTGCTCTTGTAACACTTTATGATTTTCCAGAATTATTCTGCAAATGTTGTTTTGATTATGAATTGCTACTTAAAGGGGGTTTTGTGTCTTCATCTCAGTGTCACTTAAAAATACTTTGCTCTAGGTCGTTAAAAGGATCTTTTCTTTAAGTCTTTCCATAAATTTATGGGTTCAGCATTGCTTCTGTTTCGATTTTCAAATCTTTATTGGGCTAGGTCATGGTAAATGCATTTTGTTGGTTTAGTCATACCTCACTTCTGTGTGGGTCACTTTATTATGTGTGTGTTGTAACGGGGCTGCAAAAATTGAAATTAATTTAATTGGATGGTGTCTGCTTACAAGTCCTTACTTTTTGGGCTGAGATCATAGAAGAAGATGATGCTGTTGGGTGCTTAAGGGGAGAAAATGAAAGGAGTCATGAAAACCAGTGCTGCTGGTAGGAGGGAGGTTCTGTTGCAGGGGGAGAGCTGCTCGCGGGGAGAACTGCGTGCTTTACGTGGTGAGATGAAGAAATGGATCCTAGCAGAGAGAGTGGGGGGTGAATGATGTCAGCCAGACTTTTTCTGCATCCTGCTGTCAGTGTGCTCCAAAGGATGGGGACTCTGTGCCTTCTTCTAACGCAGGGTCTGTCTTGAAGCCATTTTAATCTGTTTCAAAAGTAGGTGAGCTTGGCTTTTTGGCTAAGATGCCCTCCCTGGAGGTCGCTCTGGTCTGTGTCATGTTTTCAGAGATGTCACTGACTGTACCAAAACGTTGTTCATTGTTGGCAATCAGTTGTTTTTGAGCATTAGCCTGCAGGAGAAACAGCAGTATTTGTTGCCAGCAGCCTTGGTCAAGGCTGGATCATTTTTCCAATACAGATGTCTTTAGATTAAGACAAAAAGTGGTTGCTCTGTTTTGAAGATTAAATAGAAAATCCCTCTGTAACACAAGTGCAACAAATCCTGAGGCACGCTTTGGAAGTGCAGGGAAGAAATTTTCCATGTTATTTTGATAACTCAGGAGTAATGGCAGAACATGTGGACATGCCCAGTGTGATTCCAGGAGGGATTTTCCTGCTAATAGGTGAGGCAGATGTGCATCAGTACAAACTTACCAGTGCAGTTATTGCACAGCTGTTTCATCTGAATTTAATTTATTATAACTCCCATTTCCCAACCCACCCAGTGCCTCTCACATCAGGGCTGTAGCTGCTCCAACAGGACACCTTGTGGTGCCAACAATTCATGGGATCTTTGGGATTTATCCACAACAGGAGACCTAAGTTTTCATTTGATTTGTGAAGTTCCTTCCTAGTGTGAAATGCCAGTGCAGCAAAGTTTGATTCAGATGCAGAGACTGGAATTGAGTTCATAGGAATCAGGGAATTAACTGCTGGCTAAAATTTGCACATGGTTTAAACAGGGCACAGAGATCACTGATGTGCTGAAGTCCTGCTCTTGATCCCTGGAAGAAATGCAGCATGCTGCAAGTATAGCAGCCCTTTAGAGAAAGCCTTAGTCTTCAGGCTATATGCTCTTTTTGGGTTTGTTTTTCCTCACTGTGAATTCTCAACCCTTAAAGGAAATGTGCTGTCTGAGGGATGGTTTTGTTTTGTTCCAGCAATGCTTACAGAATGATATTATCACAGTGAAATCTTGCTTTGTCCACTGAAGACATCCAACACATTTTGTCCACTTGGATTCTTTTAGTCTGTATTAAATTGAAATACATATCAAATGTACTTCTAGGGATTGTTGAATGACACAAACTCTGTAAGCAGCACTGAGTTGGTTTATCAGCTGTGCTCTCAGAATTAGGGCTGAAGTGACTCCTTTAATATGGTTTGAGCTCACCATTGGTTCCTGCTTCTGTCATTCCATGCAGTGTTGGTGTTTGGGTGCTTTAATGATAGTAAATCACGTGAAAATACATAAATCTTAGCAATTAACACTTGCTACAAATTAATTACTCACAAGGCTAAGCTTCCATCTGACTTTTGCTGTTTAAAACTTAGCGATAGCACTGCTGTAAGTTGGAGGAGAATTGGTATTTTTTGCTTGGTACGCGAGGATCTCCAAGCATGCTGCAGAGCACAAGCTCCCTGCAGTTTGTCAGTGCACATCTTGAGGGAGGAGGTTCTGGCTGTGTGAACCTGATGCAGCATTCTCTACTGAAAAAAGAGCTGGAAGGCCTTGCTTTAGCATCAGCATTGAGGTCCTGCCTTCAGAAGGAATTGCAGGATTTTATTCTTGGGGCTCTGCTTGTGCTTAAGGTCGCCAGTGTATGGGTGGGGGTGCTGAGGATGGTGAGTGCTTGCTGTGCTTGCTGGAGGGGAAGTTTCCCTCAGGTTTGCACACCTGAAGTTGTTTGAGCTGGGTGATGTCCCTGATTCTCCATCAGGCCCAAAGTCAGACCTCACAACCTCTCAGTGAGATGGGTAATTGTGGTAAAATGACACCTCTGTGCTTCAGTTTCACCCACCTGCAGAATGTAAGGGCACAACAGCTGCTTATTAGTGTGTAACAACACCACCTCTAGCTCTAGGAACACCTGAAGTTGGTGGGGCACTTGTAGATTAACTCTTTTGGTTATTTTAAATTTCATATGTCCAAGCTGGCCTTACAGGAGCTCTCATGAGAAATGTGTAACTTTTAATGACACCTTGTGAGGAGTGAAGGCTTCTTTCCTTGGAAGCAGCAGTTCCTCTGTGAGGTTTTGGATTCATGCACCATTAACTCGTTGCTTTCAGGCCCAGCACCTTGCATGTGTTGCTTGGTGATTTTCATTTCAGCCACAGGGATACCTCGCTTGGTGTCTGGGCTGTAGCATGAAACTTTCAGTAGAAAATATATTTGGGGTTATAAGGCTCTGTGAAATTTTGTTATTTCACATGTTACTTGCAAACTTCACGATTGGGATGTGAGAATGTAAATGACAACACAATTGTTTGCCCTACTCTCTTGTCTGAAGAGCTCCTGGAATAGGAGCGTGAGTGACAGCTGAAATGATGGTTGTGTTTAGTTTGTCAAAAATATATTGACCATTTTTAAAATGCCATGTGAGTGAGAACACATTTAGCTTGTTCAAGCTTTGAAATGGGTAGGAGAAGTGAGTTGTGAGACTAATGAAGGCTGATGTGATTATCCTTATTGCACAGGGCTTTCCTTTTTCTGTTGTTTATTTGATTTAAATGTCTCAGAATACTTCAGCCACAGGCAACTCAGATCTACACTGATGAGGTCTATGCCAGATACTAAATGTCATGTGTAATGGTACACTTCCCTTGTTGTACAGAGTTAGGCTGACATCAGTAATTTATGGCCCTTATTCTGCTCTTGGGTGTGTAATCTCAGTTTAGGGATCAGGTCTTTCTGTCAGGCCATGTGAATGAGCAAAATACTGAATTTTGGGATCTCGCTTTTTGTACCAACCTTTAACTTTCTTTAAAGTAAGTGTATACATATGTTGGAATTAATTTTCCACATGATATTTGCAGTGACTTTAAAGTGACACATTGATGTGGAAAAGTCTTAAGATCTCTTTGACAACATGAGACGTTATCAATAGATAATGAGGATGTTTGTCTTATTATTTTTATTTGGTGCTGCCTCTACTATTATTATTAGTGTTTTAATCAAATTTTGTTAAGTCATTGAGTGAGGGAGCTTTACTCTTACTAAATATGACTTATTTTTA